TTAGAGTGTACAATTGTCATGTGCCATTGGCAACAGTGACAGCAAGCCTTTCTGTATGAGGCCACTGGCCCAAGGACTCTGCATCTCATCCTCATATAGCCCCAGGTACTGGGACTGTCATTTGCCTCTGCTTTGCAGCTGAGGCCTAGGTGGTTGAGTGATCACTGAGTTCACAACTAATTATAGCCAGCTATAGTCCCAGGCCGCTAGCTGCAGAGATCTCAGTCTAGCCCCCAATGAGAGGCCCCGCTGGCCTGCTGGGCCACCTGCCTTCCAGGTCCTGGGCAGCCTCTCCATTCACTGGAGACCTCAAGATCCCATGCCCAGGAGCGCTGCTGGCCACCTCTCTAGTTTCCCATTCTTTGGTAGGAATAATAGCAGGGGCGGCAGGGAAACATAAGCACCCAGTCCTCTCTCCTTCCCTGAGGCAGTGCTCTGCCCAGTTTCTCAGCCCTCCAGATGTGGTCTCTGCACACACATGCAGATACTTGTTTATGACACTTTGTGCCCACTGTGTACACTCTCCACACTTCCTTTTCCTCTGGCTGGGAATGTGATTCCCAGACTGTATTGGCATCAACTTCCTCACTTAACTATAGGGCAGCACTTTGTCAGAAGGTGCTATAATTTTGTGTATCTCTGTGAAGGGTGTTTAGCTTGTTTCTCATCTCTGGCTGCTAGAGATAGTATTTGGTAAAGCTTCAGAAGTAGAGTTGCTAGGTCAAGGACATAAGATTTTAGAGTGTATTAATAGGTTCGGCACCCATAGCTCAATGAGTAGGGCGCTGGCCACATACACCAAGCTGATGGGTTTGAGCCTGGCCCAGGCCTGCTAAACAACAATGACAACTGCAACCAAAAAATAGCCGGGCATTGTGGCGGGTGCCTGAGGTCCCAGCTACTTGGGAGGTGAAGGCGAGAGAATTGCTTCAGCCCTAGTGTCTGAGGTTGCTGTGAGCTGTCTACTGAGGGCAACATAGTGAGAGACTCTGTCACAGACACACACAAAAAAGAATGTATGAATAGCTAGGTCTTTCCAATTGCCTTCCCTGGGGTTATCCCTCTTCATGCTTTACAAAACCCCTAAGAAATGTTTCCATGAAATTCTTTCTTGTTCTTGGCTTTTTTCTGTTTTTTTTTGACATTCCAATGAGAAGAACTATTCTGTTGTAGAG